AGCGAAATCCTCGGCCCTCCCCTCCAGGGGATCCCCCCCCCTCAATTGAAGGAGGGAGCGGGTCACCCTGAAGAGGGCGGCCGGGCGACTATCTGATGACGCGATGAGTGAGGAATAGTAGTTAGTCCTAGCCACTCTCATCGCCACTAGGTAGGATCTAACATGTGTCCTTACCTGTGTTCGAGCGGGTTCGGTTCGGATGGGGCTATGATGGTGAATGCTGTGGTGGCAAATTTGGAGGGGGAAGCTGCTGACTGGGTGATCAAACTCCATGATGAGGGGGCTCCTGAATTGAACAACATTAATCTATTCATTGAGCAACTGAAGGGTCACTTTTGAATTTGAGTCCCAAGTCCTGATGGCTGAGAAAGAAATCCACCGCCTGAGGCAGAGAGGTCGCCCTGCAAAGGAATATGTCTGTGAATTCAGGAAAATTGTTAATCATTTGGGGCAGTGGCCTGAATGATCACTAGTCAATTACTTCAAACAAGAGTTAGATCGTGACTTATTTCAATCAAGCCTGCATCATTCGAGGTTTCCCTAATCTATTACGTGCATGTTACCATACAGCAGTGGAGCTAGACATCGAATTGGATCGTCCCAAAAAGTCAAACATCAACGAAGTCAAGCCATCGTGCGGCCAAGGGAAACGCCTCTATGGCCGACATCTTCCAGCTTCTGCAGCCACCAGCATCTCCCAAATGCCAACCAGGGCTCCCATCAAGTGCTACCGGTGTCCGAACGGGCTCGCCAGCGAAGGAATTTTGGACCCAGGGAACGGACGGAGGGGTGGCTGCTGAAGGGCGAATCTTTGGGGAACAGGAGCCGGCGGTAGCCGGCTCTCCGAACCCATAGCAGCCCTAGGAACCAGCAAAAGAAGGGCGGATCGCATTTATGCAAGTCGCCATTAGCAGCTGATCTTCGGAGACAGAAAACAGCTGATTTTGAAAGCAAGCAGCCAGTCCAGGTGAGACTATACTTCTGCTCTTTGTGGAAAACGGATTTTCTTTTGAGATAAATAACCTGTCTTTAACTAAAGCTGGAAGCTTGAAGGGAGGAAGGAGGAGGGTTTTTTGTCTCTCCCCCTTCCCGCACAGGCGGCAGTATAAGTGACTCCATTACTAAGAAAGAAATGTAATCGGGACTATTTTAAAGTTTCTTTTTTATTAGAGAAATTCAAAAAACAAAGAATATTGTATTTGGAAAGCCATCCTATTTTTTCTTCTTTTTAAAACTTTAAAACTGTGTCTCCATTCTGAATAAACTGCGGTAAAGAGACAGCTTCCCTGGTGACTACATTGTAGCACTTTTTTCCCCTTTCCTTTGTTCTCTGCTACTTTTGTGTATTCAGCTGTTAAACTTGGCTCAATGCCCAGATACTTGGCTGCATGCCCAGACATTCTTATCTCTCTTTAAAGGTTACTGAGAGAGACTGCTTAGTTTTCTATCTGAGCTTTTGGCTGGCTGCATATTTCCTATAGCAGTGGTGGTGAACCTATGGCACGGGTGCCAGAGGTGGCACTCAGAGCCCTCTCTGTGGGCACGCGCGCTGTCGCCCCAGTCCTAGGCCTTCAGCTGGGTTTTATAAAACCTTTTCGCTTTAGGCTTCCACCGTGTGCAAAAAAAAAAGGTTGAATCAATCAGTCAATTTCAATTTCTTGCGGGGAAAAAAAAGATCTTGCAAAGTTGGAATTGATTGATTGAACTTTTTAGTCCCACCCAGTCTGC